GCAGGTGGATCACTTGAGGTCAGGAGTTCGAGACCAGCCTGGCCAACATGGTGAGACCTTATCTCTACTAAAAATACAAAAATTAGCTGGGCATGGTGGCGCATGTCTGTAATCCCAGCTACTCGGGAAGCTGACGCAGGAGAATCACTTGAACCCAGGAGGTGGGGGTTGCAATGAGCTGAGATTGCACTCCAGCCTGGGTAACAGAATGAGACTCAGTCTCAAAAAAAAAAAAAAAAAGAGAGCCCTGGTGCCCCTGTGTGAGAACTGAAGTTGGGATGTGGCAGATGGGAGTAAGGGGCTCAGCATGGAGTGTCCTCCAGTAGGGACCCCGGGGTGCAGCCAGTGTCTGAGAAGGAGGAAGTGCTTCAGTCAGGAGATGTGCAAAGGCCCTGGGGCAGGAAGAGCTGTCACAGGATCACAGGGCCAGATCACGTAGCCCACAGGACACAGGGGTGTGGATTTTATGTTGGGTGCCATTAGAGGCCCCAAAGGAGAGGGGTGATGAGGTCACTATTTTAGGAAGACCACTTTGGCTGCCATGTGAGGACAATGGTGGAGGGAAACTGAGGCTGGCAGGCCCCAGGGGTGTTCAGTACATGGCCAAGTAATGCCTATGGGTCACAGGCTATTTTCAAGATCTTTCTTTTTTAGGGGAAGAAGGAGCCTCACTCTGCCTCCCAGGCTGGATCGGACTGGCACAATCTTGGCTCATTACAACCTCTGTCTCCTGGGTTCAAGCGATTCTCCTGTGTCAGCCCCCTGAGTAGCTGAGATTACAGGTGCATACCACCACACCTCGCTAATTTTTGTATTTTTAGTAGAGATGGGGTTTTATCATGTTGCCCAGGCTGGTCTCAAACTCCTGACCTCAGGTTATCCACCCACCTCAGCCTCCCAAAGTGCTGGGATTACAGGCAAGAGCCACTGCGCCCAGCCAGACTGTATTTTTTGAAATCCATTAATCTGTCGGTGGACACAGGTCACATCCATGTTTTAGCTCTTGTGAACAGTGCTGCTATGAACATAGGTGTGCTTGAGTCATCCTTTTTTCTTGTTACAAAAAGTATTGCATTTGTAGAAATCCAAATAGTACATGCTAATTGTAAGAAATCTGAATAACACAAAATGAGCAGTAAAGTAGGAAGGCGGTCCTCTCTCTTCCACCCCATCCTTTCATGTCCTGTCTAGGAGTCGCCACCATCTTTCCAGACTTTTCTATACATATATAATGTGTTCATACATAAGTAAAGCAGCCCCCTCACAAAATGGAACCACACTGTGCCTATCCCTTTCGCTTTATTTGCACATATTTTAGACATACTTATGTTGATGGCAGCGTAGTATTCCATCGTGTGGCTCTTCTGATTGGTTTATGCATTTCCCAGCTGATAGGCATTGAGGTGCTTTCTTTGTCTTTTGTGTGTGTGTTTTTAGGCTTCCAGAAGGATGATTGCTTAAGCTTAGGGTCACTGAATGTTTACAATTTATTTTTGGCAGAGGAATATATAAACGGGATGTAGCAAATTAAAAGTTATTCATGACCATTGCATAAGGCAATACTATATTAACTTATGTTAACTTTAACACCATGTTTAGTATGTTCGTTTATTTTCATTGAATTATATTAATATGTGTCAGTCTGCTAGGGTTGCCATTTAAAAATACCATAGATCATCCAGGCACAGTGGCTCACACCTGTAATCCCAGCACTTTGGGAGGCCGAGGTGGGTGAATCACGAGGTCAAGAGATTGAGACCATCCTGGCCAACATGGTGAAACCCTATCTCTACTAAAAAGACAAAAATTAGCTGGGTGTGGTGGCACGCATCTGTAGTCCCAGTTACTCGGGAGGCTGAGGCAAGAGCACTGCTTGAACCTGGGAGGCAGAGGTTGCAGTGAGCTGAGATCGTGCCACTGCACTGCAGGCTGGTGACAGAGCGAGACTCCATCTCAAAAAAACAAACCAAAAACACCCCACAGATTGGGTGGCTTAAACAACAAACATTTGTTTTCTTACAGTTCCTGAGGCTGGAAGTCCAAGATCAGGGAGGCAGCATGGCCATGTCCCTGTGGGCTTTGCTTTTCCGTCTGGTAGACGGTGCCTTCTTGCTGTGTCCTGATGTAGAGGAGAGGAGTGAGCTCTCTGCTGTCTCTTCCTGTGAGCATGCGACTCCCCATGCGGCCCCACCCTTGTAACCTCATCGTTAACCCTCATCACCTCCCAGTGACCTCATCTTCAAAACCTATCCCCTTGGGTCAGGACTTCAACACATGAATTTTCAGGAGACATGGTTCAGTTCCCAGCAAAGCATTACTACTTCTACGCGGGGCAGTGAGGGTTAGTGTTGTAAGTTTCTGAGCGGCTGGCCTGTGCTGGTTTCCTTGTCTGGTGCTGCGTAACAAAGCGTCCCAAACCCAGTGGCCTCCAGCGCTGGTCGTGTTATCTGCTCAGTGTGGCCAGGCTCAGCGTGGGGCTGGTCCCTGCTCTGTGGTGTCTGGGCCCTCCCTGGGGTGGCTCAAGCCTCAGCAGCCTCGTGGGCCGTATCTGGGGTCTGGGGCTTCCGCTGGCCAGGGCTTGGATGGGAGTGCCTTCTTCTCCCCAACATGCCCTCTCTAGTATGGGGTCTAGGCATCAGGAAGAAGGAGGCAGAACCTTCCAGCCCTTTTGCAGCCTGGACCAGGGACTGAAGGATGTGTCTCCTGCAGGACCCAGCAGTCTCAGGTTCACCCTGCTCCAGGACAGGGGAGTGGAGGCCCCCTTCAGAGTGGGAGAGCCTGGGGTCAGGGAGGGAGGGAACACACTCTCTGAGGCCATCTCCCACCATGTCCTTTGCCTCAGGCCTTTTGGCCTTATTGTGTTTTTCTTTTTTTGAGACAGAATCTTGCTCTGTCACCCAGATTGGAGTGCAGTGGCGTGATCTCGGCTCACTGGAACCTCTGCCTCCCAGTTCTAAGGAATTTTCTGCCTCAGCCTCCTCAGTAGCTGGGATTATAGGTGCCCACCACCATACCTGACTAATTTTTGTAGTTTTAGTAGAGGCGAGACTTCACCATCTTGGTCAGGCTGGTCTTGAACTCCTGACCCTTGATCCACCCACCTTGGCCTCCCAAAGTACTGGGATTACAGGCATGAGCCTATGCACCTGGCCAATTTTTTTGTATTTTTAGTAGAGATGGGGTTTCACCATGTTGGCCAGGCTGGTGTCGAACTCCTGACCTTGTGATTCACCAGCCTTGGCCTCCTAAAGTGCTGGGATTACAGGTGTGAGCCACCTGGCCCAGCCTCATTTGTGTTTTTCTCTACTCCTCTTCTTTACAGCCACGGGTCGTCCTCTTGGCTGCCCCTGCCCCCTCCGAGGTGCTCTGTGGGAGTTGCTGACAGAACTGTGTAGCCTCGAAGGCCTGTGTGTTTATGCCAGAGCCAGAGGTGCCCTCCCCACACTGAGGTTGTACACATGTTAGTTTTGTGTTCTGAGTCCTGGCTTGCCTCACTGTCCTGAGTGCCACCTGGTGGAGAGACAACAGTGCCCAGTGCACAAGTCGGGTGTCGTTCCTGGGGTGGAACTGGGCACCCCCAGCCAGGCTCTCGTTCCTGGGTGTGATGAAATCTGGCTTCTCCGTGTCTCTGTTTTCCTTGCCTGTGAACTGGGGGTGATGTGGGTTCTGTTGGAATCTCTTGGGATCTTGGGTCCACCACACCTGGACGCATCTGTGGCTTCTGGAGTGGTTAGTTGTATTTCTTTGTTGTTTAGACAAATTACATGACTCCAAGTCCCTCCTGGTGCTGGGAAAGCTCAGGCCGGGTGTGGAGCTTCCTGCTGCTCTGGGTTCATTTCCCCTTGGGCTCTCTGTGTGCCACTGTTCTTTGTCAGGCACGATGCCGGGCTCGGGGTGATGAGGTGGCCTCTCCAGACACTTCCTCATAGTCCCCAGAATGAGATCGAGGAGGGCCTGGCCCTCTCTGGCTCCCTGCCTGGCTCCTGTCCTCCTGACTAGGGCAGTTACTGAGGCCCAGGACTCTGAGGGGCTGCAGGGGCCCCACGCTCCATGGAAACCAGGGTGGGAGTTCTTGTGGGGGCCACAGGCAAGGGGCTTCATGGGGTGGGGGAGCTCCTGGAACACAGAATCCAAGCCAGGCCTGGAGGGCGTGGCAGGCTCTTCTGCAAATCCCACCCCACATCTGAGCCCAGGGCTGGAGGCGGCAGGTGAAGGCCCCTGGACAGGGGCTGCTGCTCTGTGCTGGGAGCTACTGGTCCCCATGGCCTGCCCCTTGAACATCTCATCCCATTCTGACCTGGAACGGATGCTGCACTCGCCTTTGCAACCCAGGTGCGCCATCGTCTTGACCTAGGACTCCTGAGTACCTTGCTGGGTGGTTTGTTTACTGCTGGCTGAGCGGCCGCTGCATGTTTTTGTAAAGTGGTACTCCGTAGCACCTCTCATGGGCGTGTGGAGGGGCATGGGTGCGGCCAAGCTAAGTGGGGCTCTCAGCACAGCACGTTGGTGGGGGTGTCCCCTGGGCGGGACCAGGGCGGGCTTGCCGGGCACTGCAGAGTTTGAGTGGAGCTGCGAGAAAGGAAGAATTGTTGGGGTATTGGGCAGGGTGGGGTCCCTGGAGGCAGGGACAGGTTCGGAGGAGGTAAAGTGGGGCTTCACGTCCCCATGTGGCTGGATCAAAGTGTGCAAGGAGTCTGGGGCAGTGAGGGGCTGTAGCTCAGTGGTCATCAGGGTGCCCTGCTGAGCACTTTGGGGTCCTCTGAGAGCTTCGGAGTCAAAGAGAGACGTGATTGCCACTGTGCTTTAGGAAGCCAGGTGGGCATCAGGGTCCTGGAGGAGGGAGGGTCAAGGGGGTAGTTGTGGGTGGGGAATAGGGAGTGGGGATGCCCAGGCTCTCTTCTACTTTGCTACACATTCTGGAGGCTGCTCCTGGGATGGGACCTGTAGGACCCGTGACTCCAGCGGCATCTGAGTGACCCTGACTCTCTTTGTGTCTGCAGACGGCATCCACAGCCTCACGGCCCTCTGCACCCTGCGTGTCACCATCATCACGGACGACATGCTGACCAACAGCATCACTGTCCACCTGGAAAACATGTCCCAGGAGAAGTTCCTGTCCCCACTGCTAGCCCTGTTCATGGAGGGGGTGGACGCAGTGCTGTCCACCAGCAAGGAGGATGTCTTTGTCTTCAACGTCCAGAACGACACTGATGTCAGCGCCAACATCCTGAACGTGACCTTCTCGGCGCTGCTGCCTGGCGACCTCCATGGCCAGTTCTGCCCATCGGAGGACCTGCAGGAGCAGATCTACCTGAACCGGACGCTGCTGACCACCATCTCCACGCAGCGCGTGCTGCCCTTCGGCAACAACATCTGCCTGCCAGAGCCCTGCGAGAACTACATGAAGTGCATCTCCGTGCTGCGCTTCCACAGCTCGGCGCCCTTCCTCAGCTCCACCACCGTGCTCTTCCGGCCCATCCACCCCGTCAACGGCCTGTGCTGCCGGTGCCTGTCCGGCTTCACCGGGGACTACTGCGAGACAGAGATCGACCTCTGCTACTCCAACCCGTACGGCGCCCACGGCCGCTGCGCATCCGCGACGGCGGCTACACCTGCGAGTGCTTCGAGGACTTCACGGGTAGGTGCCTGCAGCCTGTGGGTGGCCGGGCTTACCCAGGCTTTGGACACACATCCCAGGTCACATGGCCGAGGGTTTTGGGTGGTTTCCTCTGTCCACGTCCCTACAGGGAAAAGGGTCAGAGGACGTGCGCTGGGCCCAGGTGTGGGCTCCATGAACCTTGAGATGATTTCAGCAACGGTACTTTCTTTCTTTTTTTTTTCCTGAGATGGAGCCTCACTCTATTGCCCAGGCTGGAGTGCAGTGGCACAATCTTGGCTCACTGCAACCTCCACCTCCCAGGTTCAAGCAATTCTCCCGACTCAGCCTCCGGAGTAGCTAGGATTACAGGCACCTGCCACCACGCCTGGCTAATTTTTGTGTTTCTAGTAGAGATAGGGTTTCACCATGTTGGTCAGGCTGGTCTTGAACTCCTGACCTCAGGTGATCTGCCCACCTCAGCCTCCCAAAGTGCTGGGATTACAGGCGTGAGCCACCCAGCCACTAACAACGGCACTTTCTTAGCCAGCTCGGGACTTCCCTGAGCCCACGGCTCACTCCCTCCCCTGCCTGACTTCACCCCCTGCTTTAGGAGAACAGTAGAGAAAGGTTGCCGGGTGAGATCTACTTAAAACCTGAATGCACAAAGTGCCGGGAGTTGCTTTTAAGGGACTTTCAGGTTGAAGTACTTTATTCCAGATTGCAAGCTTAATGCTTAGTGTAAAACACTGGGACTGGGTGGAAATCATTGAGCTGTTAATCACTTAAGTCTCAAAAGCCTGTTTTTTTCATGCCACTGTAGAAATTTCGTGGCTCGTCCCGCTGCCTCTGAAGACACTCTTTCCTTGATGTCTCCTGACTCATCACCAAGATGAATTACTCCAAATGCAGCCAACAGTGCATTTGGAGTAACTGGTGCATTTTTAAAAAAAATAAAGAGCCAGCCGGAGAGCTGAACGTGTCCAAAAACACACGTTCTCTGCATCACGGCCACAAGCCTTGGTTTGGTCTTTGATCGTCTGTTCCATAAAATGATCGCTCATTTGAAAAATGAGTTGACAGTGTCCTGGTGGTCAATAAGTCTGTCTGTTTTCTTTTTTTTTTGAAAGCTCTTTGGGATTAGGCGGGATTTGGTTTGTACCGGAGGTAACTTTGAGATGCTTCCATTGACTGTGTCCTCGATTAATCTGTTTAATATAAACACCTGAGGCATCGTTAGCTGCTCGTTAGCAGCATGTAGCACAAGTTTATCGAGCTTATAACAAGGGTTTGAGGTATTAGCAGGTATTTATCAGGCAGGAAGAGCGACGGGAGCAGAGAGAGAGGAAGGATGACTTCCGAGGTTCTCTGCATCAGAAGTGGAGGGAAAACCACCACAGCGTGGGTGTTGGCAGCCCAATGCAATGAGGCTCCCAGCTCAGACGCCCGGCGACCAGCACCCCAGGTTGGTGGCACTCTGGTCATACAGCAAGTGAAAGGAAGGCACCGTGGTCACCTGCCCCTTGGTGTTCCCACACCTGCTAGTCTGTGGCTGTCTGTTGGTGCCATCTGGGTCTGGAGCTCTTCCTCCAGCTGTCTCTGAGTGCTAATCCTAAATTCCTGGCTATACCAGGGCTTGGCTGTGTGCAAGGCAGACAGGCAGAGGCGGCAGGAGACCTCCACCTCCCACAGCCCACACCTGCTTTGGGGTTGGGGTTGGGGCGTGGGAGAAGTGGGTAGCTATGACCAGGCCTGAACCGTGCCCCCTCCCCTGCTCTGAGTTTGAATGGATTCCGGTTCTGTGTCAGCTTCCCAAGGTCCCCTTCCTCCCCTTTGCCTCTCGTGGCCTTGAGTGGGCCGCTCCGCCTCTCTGAAGCACCTGCTTGGATGTAGCAGCAGCCAGCATGGTAAGCGTTCCTCCCACAAGCCAGTGCCTGCCATGTGCCACGTGGTCTGGATGGGGGTGCTTCACCAACTTTCCTGCTTCAGATGAAGAAGCCATAGCCAGGAAGGAGCCTGTTGTGCTCCTAGGAGTTGGCAAGGATGCCATCTTTACTCGGTCTGCAAATACTGAGTACCTACCATATACCAGGCCAGTGCACACAGCCAGGCCTCCCCCAGTGTATTCTGGGGGTGGCCAAGTTCATCTGTGCCATTGGCTAATTTCATGGGTAGAGGGGACCTTGTAAGCACCCCCCACCTCTGGCTTTGTCAGATGAGTCAGAAGCCTTAGGGTGGCATCTCACATGGCTTTGAGACCGGGCACCACCAGTCTAGGCTGCAGTAAGCTTGGGCTGCGCTGGGTGGGGGCAGCCAGGGCCCCTGGGGATCCCGGGTCCAGCAGATCCCTCTGACGATGATTGACCCATTGTGGGGGAATCCACCTCCTGAGATTCTCAGGTTTCATCAGGAGAGTCATTTTTAGAACTCTCATGATTGGGGAATGGCCAATTCTGTCATCACCAATAAGACCCACTAACATGTAATGATTGGCATGAGACTAATTTGAATCTTTTGGTACTAAAATTATCATATGTATTTCTCACCGAGATAAGGCTAATTGAGACTGATTATTTCTACTCAGTCCCTCTTGCCCTCTTTCTCCCTCTTTCCCTTTGAAGCATGGAGGTAATTGAGCTCATTTATTCATGATGAAAGTGCTGCTGTCGTCACGGGGTTTTATTACCTGCTCCCTGGTAAGCCGAGCTCGGGGCCTCACGGTTGTAAGGTTGGAACTGGCTGCTGGAAGTCCCTGGCTTCCGTGTTGCGGGATGGGAGATGGCAGGAGCTGGATGAAGGAAGTAGCAATTAATTTTGGGAAAAGTTCAATGAATTTGGTGCTGGAGAAAATACTGACAGCTCCCCGCGTCTCTGAAATCCATTTTGGTCTTAGAGAATTCTGTTCAAGGCCCCAGTGTATGTGGCTGCCCCTGGTCTTTGCAGGGAACGGAGGGCTGCTGGCCACTCATGGCATTGAGACTGTGGTTGGGGTCTGCAGCCATCCCATTCTCTGAAAGGGACAGGGACAGGAAGCTTTAAGGCCCTGGCAACTTAGATGTGCCTGGGACACCCTCCCAGTTTCTCTGCTCTGCAGAGGTTCCTGAACAACCATGAGAGGCAAACTCGGGCTTGTGTTCCTCGGTTCCCAGCCCCTTGGGCTTTTTGTAAACATTGTAGTTTTGCTTTTTGTTAAATTGCTCGAGGACATGGGTCAGGCTCCGACTTGGGTCCTGTGGGTCCAGACAGGGCCCTGTCTTATCTTCCCTCTGCACCTGCTGTCCCTTCATCTGAAATGTGTCTCCTTATCCATCTGCCTGTCATGAACTTCCCTCAAAATCCACTTCAGTAACTCTCCCCTGCTCTGAGAAGGTTCTAGAATTTTCCCAACCTCATCCAATGGATCATAGCCTCCCTTGAAGCTTTCTGGGTACCTGCCTTATGCCTTTGTTGGTCCACCCCCACACTGGGTGTGGTTCACACACTTCCACATCTCTGGGCCCCGGGACGCCAGGGACTGTACCTAATGGTCGTGTGTGTGTTTGTTTTGAGACAGTCTTACTCTGTTGCCCAGGCTAGAGTTCAGTGGTGTGATCTCAGCGTACTGCAACCTCCACCTCCTGGGTTCAGTGATTCTCCTGCCTCAGCCTCCTAGGTAGCTGGGATTACAGGCATGTACCACTACCTGGCTAATTTTTTGTATTTTCAGTAGAGACAGGGTTTCGCCATGTTGGCCAGACTGGTCTCGAACCCTTGACCTCAGGAGATTCATCTGCCTTGGCCTCTCAATGTGCTGGGATTACATGTAAGCCATCGTGCCTGGCTGGACTATAGCTAATATTTAGTGTGTGTGCTGCTGTGCTGGTCACTGCTCTAGATGATTCCACATGTATTTTCTCATTTACATCTCAGGGCAGCTCTGTGGCCCTGTTTTGTAATGGAGAAACTGAGGTACAAGACATCAAAGCATCTAGCCCAGTGGTTCTCCTGTAGGGGTGATTTTGCCCCCACAGGGGACATTTGATAAAATCAGAAGACATTTTCGGTTATCACAGTTAGGGGTGGGGGTGCTGGTAGGATGAGGCCAGGAATACTGCTTGACATCTGTAGTAAACAGGACTGCTTGTCCCACAGCAGAGAACTGGCCTCAGTCCCGAAGGCAAGGACCCTGCTGCCCGCCCTGCAGCAGGTGGGGTCGGGAATCAAACCTGGGCATTGTGGCTTCTGAGCTGCAGCTGCAGGCCCTCGAGGGTGGAATGGCAGGCCAGGTTTACCAGCTTAGCCAATCCTTCCTCTTGCTTCATTTGTTTAACAGCATTTTGTAAAAGGCGCCTTCTGTGCTGGTCACTGGGTTTAAAGGGGCAGTGTGGGCCTGGCACAGTGGCTCATGCCTGTAATCCCAGCACTTTGGGAGGCCAAGTTGGGCAGATCAGGAGATTAAGACCAACCTGGCCAACATGGCAAAACCCTGTCTGCTAAAAATACAAAAATTAGCTGGGCCTGGCAGCGTGTGCCTATAATCTCAGCTACTCTGGAGGTTGAGGCAGGAGTGAGCTGAGATAGTGTCATTGCACTCCAGTCTGGTGACAGAGCCAGACTCTCTCAATCAGTCAATCAATCAAGGGCCATTGTGATGGGTGGTGTGGAGCAGCTGGGAGTGGCTTCTCGGCTATTAACCTCACACCTGAGGGGCTGAGAGAACACGGTTGCTTCCCAGCAAGAAGCGTGACCTCATGAAATCAGGACTGGCTTTAGGGCTTGATTTTGAATACTGTGCTGCTCTTTTGCCTCCTCTCCCTAATTAAACCGTCGCGACCACTCCTTGCTAAAATGGGCAGTACTCTCTACTGGTGACCAAGAGTGCCAGTCCAGGGCTCTGCTCTCACTCGGCCTTCCCAGGTGTCTGTGACAACCCAGGAGGTGGGGCAGTTGTCATCCCCATTCTGTCAACACCCAGGTGCACCCCTGGGTGGATTTTTTTTTTTCTTTTCTTTCTTTCCTTTTTTTATTTTTTTTTGGAGACAGAGTCTCACGCTGTCATCCAG